GAAATCTTGCTTTCACCCCAACTCTTGTCCTTTCTCACTACAGAGAAACTCTGCTTGTAACACCAAGTCTGTTAGAATCACTGAAGAGTGATTTCTCCCAGAAGCAGGAACAGGGTAGATGTGTAAAAACATAAAAGCCTCCTTAGATCTTTACCTTCATGCTATGGAGGGAGAATGGCAGTGTCACCAGCTGACCAAGCTGAACAGCGTGGGCTGCAGGACTACAGTTTGGCCCTAATAAGATTTGAGGTTTGGATTACCGTTTACATGGTTTAACTACTTAGCTGGATCCAAAGCGTATGTGTATGCACACAGAAACCTGTACAAGCCTTGTGTATTACATTACTTACTACCAACTAACAGAAGACCCAAGAGCACAATATTCACGCTACAAATAATGTACACAAAGGTGTAGTTATTTTGGCACACACGCAAGGCTAACAGTCAGTTAAGAGGACACGTACTAGTGTAACACATTGCATCTGCTCTATCATGAAGGTAAAGGGTTTGTTTATTGGCCAGTGCAGACAATTCTCATTCACGGATGACAGGCACATGCCTCCAGAATACATGCACCACTGAAAGGCAGGGTTATGTTTAGAATATCATACATGCAGGCACAAAGAATTGTAATTTAAACTATGACAAGCCTTAAGGAAAAACTATCAGTTACAACTTTAAACTTTTGGTTTTGGAGAAAGATACAAGAAGATTTTCTCTACAGATGGTTACATATGGCTGGGATACCTACCACTTGCAAGCCAAACCCGTAGCAGTTACTTGCCTTTTAATCCTGGCTAATTCCAGCTGCCATAAAAAATATTAATTGAGCCAACAGAGGTGAAATGTGGGTGACTGAAATGCTAGTACATGAACAAAGCTTTCTATAATGCAAAAAAGTTCTCAGTGGAATTTTTAATTTAGGTAAGGTCAGTAAAATGCATGGAAAATATCAGAATCCAAAATATCTTTGAAGGATAATCTCAATACTGATGAAAACCACAAGTTGTGACATCTCAGTAGCTGTGACATGTGAGTAGCTTTGAAATCTCCCTTTCCCTGCCCTACAGTGAAAAAGAAATGAGAAATATTGTACGTTAAAAAAAAAGGGGATCTAGATCTTGGCCACTGTCTAATGTTCAACATTTCCTTTGGGATTCCAAATATGATCAAAATTAAAGACAACTGTTCACACAGGACCGTTGAACAATGTATGTTTTTTAATGTCTGCTTCTCAGTAACACTACTGTGATAGCTTTGATAGCCACAAAAAGCAAGACAATAATTTTTGTTTCTGTATTTCCAAATCGATAAGATTGTTACAAAACCCTCAACAAGTAACTAAAGCACATAAAGTGACTGGAGGGAATCAGTAACCAAGCACTAATAAGAAAACTCATTTGACTGCGTATCTTACTTATAAAATAGGTTATTTTTAGAAAATTATTTGTAAGGACTAGTTTCATTTCTTGTCCTCAGTCTTGCAAAGGCTTTGATGACCAGGTTAAGTCTCAGTGGAGATACAGGTAAGATTGTGTACTGCCATAGCATTTAAGGTTTTCATTTTAAATGAGCAGTGTAATTTGAGTTTGTTCTTTAAGACAATTATTGCTAAAAGCTACCCAAACTTTCTGATCACATTTCTTTTGGTAGCATGTTCAGCAGTAATGAAAGCAAAGACAATTAGGAACAACAGGGGTTTATAGAACACGTCACATAGAAGAGTGCTGCACAGAATTAGATGCTGAACATCACACTGGAAAGTTAGATGGAATGAGTTGAGATGCCCAAAAAAAGGGAGAGGAGTACCTTAATAGGTACTCATGTCCTTATTTCAGACATGACATACAGTTACAGTCTGGAGTATGGTGCACAGGGAGAGCATATGCTCTACAACATTTCAAGGGTTGAAAATGGGTCACCTCCTGAGCTATCCTTTACCCCCATCTCTGAGGTACCAGCTCTACTTGCTGTACTGAGATTTGAGGGAATGGCAGACGAACAAGAAAATGTACTTTGCCTCATTCCCAAACAGGCCTGGAACTTATGGCTAACATTCAAGCCAGTATTTAGGCTTTTCATTTCCTACCGATACTAGTGGAGAAGTAAGAGCTTAAGTAGGTGGCTGAACCTCTAATATACAGCTACATATGGTGCTTTTCTTCATAGCCCTTATTTTCCACACAACATAGAGTAAAAGGGAAAAATCTTTCCAAAGTATTATCTTTCCAGGCACAACTTCCCTTTGTCACTGTCCTATATCAGGATTCCTTCAAATGCATCTATTTGATTGAGTTTTAAAACTACCCAGCTGTAGAAACAAAGAAGAAACAAAGAAGCCTGTTCCTCAAAAATAAAATACTGCTATTTGAAGCATCATCTCAGGTCCTAATCCAAAGCTACTACGTCATCGAAAGTATTTCAAAGAACTTTGCGTCGGGCCCATGCAAAATGCTTTGGCTCATGGCAGGGATTTTATACTGTACAAGTAATGCAAAGTAAACTCTGGCAGAACCCTAGCTAGTTCCATCACCCTCTTCTAAGCAGTAGCTCAATTTCTACTCAGTGTCAGCTTGGATCTGTCCACATTCTCAATTCCTTTGCATGCCTTCTCTCTTATGAGTGTGCTGGCCTCTCCTACTGACTGTGAAATAGCAACTTTTAACCTAATTACACCTTAAAACCTTCCTAACCAATCCATGTAGCAACAGCCTGGCATTACTGACACTCACTATTTGGGTACCTGAGAAAGCCTGCCACCTGTGCACCTCAAGCTAAGTGTAACCTGAGGTGCCAAACAAGGCAGCTAGATAGCAACAAACAGCCAGATCAACAGCGTGCCGAAAGGGCTCTGCAGTAGACTGAATTTCACCCTTTGTTTGGGCAGGGTCCAGATCTTTTCAGTTACCACTGAGTTACGAGTCAAGTCTTAAAGTCAACGGGAAGAACAGGTACATCGGTTTGGCCTGTATCTTAGCTGAAGGATTTATCAACAGTTAGAGGGTTAGCCTTTTTATTCAGAGCAGCCAGGACCATCACGGAACCTTCTTCAGGAGCACAGGCACCAGTGACACAGAAGAAGGTTCTCTACATTTAGACAGTTCACTACCATGCTGGAATAATTTAGCCGTTGTTGGTATCACAGTATGCTATTTTCTGCCTCAGAGTCTGACAGGTCACCAGTGCAACACAGGAGTGGATAATCCTTCATTCCATTGAATTTTTCTTCAAAAAGAATCGATAACTAAGAAAGGCTCCACAAAGCTGGACACTTCTCATCCTGAGCATCCTTAGATACATCAAAAGTCTTCCCAGGTAACCAAAGCCAACCATGGGAAAAGCCATTTAAATCTTTACAAGAACATGTGCTGAGTTTTGGCAAACTTCCCTCCCTCTTCAAAACAAAGCCCAAAATAAATTCTAAACAAACAAAAAAAAATCTCCAAGCCCACAAGGAAGTCCTTGCCTTTGTTTGCTGTTGTTGTTTTGGTTTCAGGCTGATGTATGGGCTCACAGGGTCATTGGAGGCAGCGTTACAAGAAAGGCTACCATTCAGTGTCAGAAAAACAAACCATGATCAGTTCAAGGGCTGAAAATCAATGCTCTGTTTCTGAACGCTGGGCAAATACAGACTGTTGACCTGCAGGGCACATGGCAGCACACATGCTCACTAAATTTCACATACTCTCCGTGGGATGCTGATACAGATGGGGAGGGGGCAATAGATTTATTAACCTTTATTCAGAGGCAAACAGGAAAATCAGTGCATGAGCTCTTTTTGAAAGCTAAGCAAAGCAGAACTGCTAGCAGCTGGCTTAGATACTGAAAAATCTCATCTTTCATGATTTTAGAGAAGCAGAGTAATACATTAGAGTACTTGTTCAGCTCCTGAGGAAAATTAGACCAGCCTTTTCTCTAATTAACCAATATAACCTATTAACCAATATAACCTATTTAACCAATATAAAAAAATAAGGGTTTTTTTATTCCTATTAAGCTGGTTTGGCATTCTGGGCCCAGGCAGGTCACACTCAGTGGCCTGTACCTCTAGCCTGTGGAATTTGTTCTCCTTCCATAGTAGTGGAAAGCCATTCCCATCAATACTATTACTCCTGAGTTAGGCAGCAAAAGTGAACAGAGAATCAAATCCCTTGGCTTCAGACAAATCTAACATAAAATGTTGCCCATTTATAATTGTATATTTTTCTGGGCAAATTGCACTTAATTACATGGATATTAATTGCAAATGTCCTTATTCCCAGTGGCCATAAACTTTTCCTTACACATGTTCTAGCTTAAAGGGAATACGGGCTGATGTATGTGCATAACAACATTCACTTAATAGCAATCTGATTGGCAGTGTTTAGTCATAATCAGTATTTTAAAGCATTATTAGCTTAATGCCCCCTGTATTTACAAATGTGAGGCAGTGAAAACTTGAAAACAGACTGCAAAAAGCTTTAATAGACTTTCTTAGTAATGTCTTACTCCTCACCTCTCAGATTAGTATAATAGCTCCACCCAAATCCAGTCAGTCAGAACCATGCTACAGTACACACAGTAACAAGCACAAGGTATAGACAGGAGGAAAGTAAGGGCTGGTATTTTCTACCTCTTTCTGTTGACATAAAATATTTTAGAACCGATATTGTCCTGGAAATAGTGCTTTTTTTTTTCAGTTTTTCATGAGTGGTGTATGACATTTACAGTCTAGCACCTCGTATATTACAACCACTTACTCCCCAATAGTATATTGTTGAGTGTTTTAAGGAAAGTGCCAGATCCTGTATAAGACATTTTAAAAAAGCCCCCAAACAGCAGTCAAATCAAACTGCATAAATAATGGGATATTCTTCAGAAAGACTGCTATGAAAGACCCTATTTTCAAGAGGTTCTCTTCTACATCCTCAGGGCAACCGGACATTTAGGAATGTTTGAGATCTTTTGCTTGAATTGACAAAGTGTGGTATAACTGCTCTTGACTTTTTTTTTTCCTAAAGCTCAACAAAATTATGTATTTTTTGTACCGATATATTTATTTTTGCCAATATACACATGAGGAATGTAATGAAGTGGTGTTGTGCTGCAAGTAGCTCAGCAGATGTTGAAATCAGTTCCAGTTCCTGAAAACAACTTCTTGACAACATAGTCTTAGCATTCACAATAACCAAAACATGTGGGATTCATCTACATCATTCTTACAAATATATTCTCTTGCCCCCTCTCTTTCTCCCTCTGTGTTGTAAACCCTCAGCCTTACTTGCTTCCTTGTACTTTATGATCGTATGTGCCTGCATGCTTATAGCCAGATACATATCCTGAAGCATCCACCAGATCTTCTCGGCCAGCTTTGCCTTTTCCTTTCCCACTGGGATCAAACCTCTCTTTGTGAGAACCCGTGAATTTTGATGTATCTGTAAGGCGTGATACAGTTGGAGATGAAATGGCTTTCTATTGGAAGAAAGAAAAGAAAAAACCCACATCAGAAATCAGTTATTGTTAATGCAGACATTTGTACATGCTACCGTCATTTAAATATTTGCTAATGATCGAGATTACATAAATATCTACTCACTTCTAGCAAAAGGATACAAAACACGTTTGTTTCTTGCCATTACATACAGTGACAATAATCACATAGCTGAGAACAAAACAGTGCAAGTTAGGTCAAAACATTTTAGAAGAGACTTTCAATAGGAGACACTTCTGATCAATAATCAAGTTCTAAGCACCAAAGATATGAAGAAGTCATAGGGAACAGCAATATTCAAAATCCATTACGTCAAATCCAAGCATAAAGGCCTGGCTCTACCAATATAGAAAAAACAAACCAATACAGCTAGAATTCATTGCTTCAAGAGATGAATTTATTCTAAACTCTAGGATTCATCAGAGAAGTAACAAACTAAAAGGACTGAAAGTTACTTTCAGTGTTAGCAAATCAGCAGTCTATGAAATGACATTGAACAAAGACTTTCCTCTACGTTGCTTCCACTGAGTCACATCTGGCTACTTCAAAATCTACGTTTTGCTGTCATTGAGAGAAAGAAAATTTGACTACACAAACAGAAATAAAAAGGTAATTCACAGAACAATGCAGGAGCATGCTACCCTCTGTGCTTGGACTGGGAGCAGTCTCTTTGATCCTTTTTAAGCTGACATGTTGACATCAGAAGAGAAAGGGCAATAAAGGAGAAGGGAAAACCAAAGATTTTTTTATAGTAGTGGCAATGGAGCTAAGATGAACAAAGACTGATTAAATCTGGGTATCTTTCTTAAAGTGAGTCACCCTATTAGGGTGCATTTTAGAGACAAAAGTGGCATGGATGTCATCGCAGTGAATGCTCTGACAAACATCTTTCATCAAAAACTTCATTCCCCCTCTATCCATCCTCAGCCCAAATAAATGATCATTAATGAGATCTAACTACCTGACATTCCAAGTTACACAGAACATATAGTTTTCCTGTCCACACTGGCCTGCTAGCACCTTATAAACAGGAAACCTGTATTCACAGTAGAGCTAATTAAAAAAAAAAAGCACCCAGTGATCAGCAATTGTGATAGCAGCCCAGGTAGATAAAATGAAAACGCAATAAAAAATGTATAAGCTGAGATATCAAAAGTAGCGAAGTGAAAACTCCTGGCCTGGTGCCCAGCTGATAATTTATTTTTTCTGTTCCGCAGAGTATTAGTAAATTGAACAGGTTGTACACAGAGTTACACAACAGAACCAAAGCCTGGCCACTGGAAATCACTCTGACAACTCAGGGCACAAAAAGACACGTGCTTCTGGAAGAGCGCCTAACGTGTTCGCTTCACCTTGGGCACAGGCCCTAGGAATTCTGTGCTACTTTAAACCTTGTGAATCAATGCCTTGTTTAGTAAGTGAAGGAAAACATGGAAGTTTGCACCTTGAGCAAAAATTCTGGCACAAACTAGTAGGAGTAAGCTTTTATGACTGTACAACAGAATACCTGTGAGGAAGTTTCTAATGCCTGTTTAAGTTATTACTAGGTCATTCTGCCTCTAAAAGAACATATGATGCTTCCTCCTAAAGGCATCTTCTTAACTATTAGCACACTTATTCTGTGTTCTTAACAAACTTACAAAGAAAATGAAGATTCCACCTGTGACTCTCTCCATGTAAGCCAGAAAGGAAAAAGATAGGGCACAATACTTGCCAAAATACCTTTCATCATCCCTAACACCAGAAGAAGCTGCTTTAGAAGATGCAAGGAAGCTTACAATATAATCCAAGGACTAAACTTTGCTCTACATTTACTCATATAAAACTACTGCTAAAAGACACAGGATGCTACCAGCGACAAAAGCTGTTTGTACTGTAAACATGGAAATACTTGAAGTGCAAGACAGGGTCAATATTCAGTATAAAGTTAATTAAACTCAAGATGTATTTACTTTCCTTGTATTTCATCATCACTAAAATCAGTTTTCTCTAAATGTGCACACACTCTGAATTCTCAATATGCAGAATGAAGCCTCAGAAACTCCAGTTGACTGCCTTCTCTTTTACCAAATTTATTCTCAGAGCAGACTGCAGTTCTGAGAATTTGTAATGTTAAGTTTAATCACTATTTGGAAAAAGAACTACAGCTTCTACTCCTCAGTTTCAAAGGCGTGGCATGATCAGTATGAATTTTGCCTTAATATCCAAATTACAATAAAAATAAATAAGAATTTCAGTACCATAACATAATTAGACGTACTAAGACAAGTATGAGTTCAATACGAAAGGAAATGCAGGTATATTAACACCCAAGAAGAAACGGTAAAATGCAGATTAACAAAATGGCCTTTGCCAATAACAAAGGATGTTCCCAGGAAACTACTCCCAGGGAATCATTCCCAGTGGTAAAGTTGAGGAATGTGTTGTTTATATCAAGGCAGCCTCCACTCTCACAAGACCACAACACAAATGACTTAATCAGGGGAAAAAAAAGTGCATCCTAACAAGATGATAGCAACAAGGTTGCAGCGTGCCACATGAGCCTTTCCTTTTCCTGTTATTCTACTGGGAAAACAGCAACATATTTCAAAGCAACAAGGAAAACAGAGGATGGGCAACTACTTGACCTACAGTTCATGTAGCCTTAACTAAGATCCTAGAGCAAAGGACCGGTCTGTAACAACTACTGACTCTTAAAGGACTCTATTAAACATCTGTCCATAAAGTAGTTTGTCACTGTCAGTCATGAAGAACCCAGGAGACACAGTGATGTCTCGGTAGTAAGCATCCCTTGTCCTCTGTGTCCCACACACACAGGGGATGCAATGGGTGTGCCAAAATGTGACTCATGTGGCACACACATCTTAGTGCTTGACTGTGAGGGTGTGAGTGAATGAAATCTATTAGAAAACAGGTACATGTGAATGAGAACCACCTTACTAGAGACCTTGTAAATTATGTTTACCTTCACCTTCTTGCACTGAGTGGGGTTTTTGGGTTTTGTTTGTTTGTTTTCCCCCACTAATCTCCCTTGATACTTCTCCATTGGAATTTACCAGTCATCTGTATACAGACTACACATCAGCTACTTCCGCCTGGTGTCTCTCTTGCATCCTCTGGTGAAGACTTGTGCTAGGACTAACATGAAAACATCATTTTATAACTTATTCTTCATCTGCTAGCGCCGAGCGTGTTCCCAGTGCAACAGCAATACAGCAAATGGTTGAAATACAACTAATAGCTCTATGGTTTAGCAACCCCTTGATATATCTAAATAAAAATAAAAATAAAAATCTCTCTTATTTAGCAGACATCTTGGAACAATGTTTCAGATCTCTGACTTCCCTATCATAGAATGGCCAGACTTGGAAGGGACCTCTGGAGATCATCTAGTCCAACCCCCCCTGCCAAGGCAGGATCACCTAGTGCAGATCACACAGGAACAAGTCCAGGTGGGTTTTGAATGTCTCCAGAGAAGGAGACTCCACGACCTCTCTGGGCAGTCTGTAATCTATTAACTGAGAACTGATATGTGTATTTGCAGGGAGAAAGAAACATCAAAATTCTAAGTAAAGGCAATTAACACCACAGGTTAAAAAAATACAATCTTTTTCTCCTGAAAAAAGTTAAACAAAACCTAAAGCCCAGCACAACAAACATCACAAATCCAGAGCAAGAACAGTGATGCAACATCCCATGTTCTTTTAGCCCAGGATGGATCAGAAGGCTTCCTGTATCACAGGAGGTCACAGTATGTGAAATGAACATAAAGGGAGTATCCGCAAGGCAACCATTCCTTCTCCAAATTGTTTTTAACTGAGTAAAGAACTGCAGCCCTTTCCTAAGCTGCATGTGAAGTCACTGATGCACCCCTTCCCAGATGTGACAGAACATTACAATTGAAAGACGGCAATCCCTATTGGTTTCCTGCTGGCACAATTTCTATGAAATGGGAAGCTCACTCTGCCTTCAACTAGTACAAAATTCAAGCAATTTTAATTCCTTGTACAATATGCTCTCTCTCCCTGAACTGATCCATCCACATAAAAGATCAGAGACAATGAGATGCCACATAAGGCTATATAGAATACCACATTTCTCCTTTTTCTTCTCCTTCACGTTTCTTATGATGAATATGTATGCATTAAAAAGAAAATACTACTTACTCCTTAAGGTCATGTAAACACTACTCAGAAGGGCATCCTGCTAAGGGGCTTTCTTTCAAACAGCCTTTGTAAATACAGAGTGGAATACACAAGAACTTCACGTTTGTCTTGGACTCCTTAGCCAGAAGCATCTAGTAGTACTGTATATCACAGAAGGGCTGAGGTTGGAAGAGACCTCAGGAGGTCATCTTCTCCAACCCCCACTCCCTCACCTACAGCCAGTTGCCCAGGATCATGTCCAGATGGCTTTTTAATATCTGCAAGGATGGAGACATAACCACCTCCCTGGGCAACCTGTGACAGTGCTTGGTCAGCCTCACAGTGAAAAAGTGTTTCTGGATGTTCAGCGGGAACCTCCCACATGTCTGTTTGTGCCCATCTCATTTTGTTCTGTCACTGGGTACAAGTGAAAGAGCCTGGCTCCATCCTCTTTGCAACCTCCCCCCCTTCAGGTGTTCCGCAGAAGCCTCCATTTTCTTTCTCTTATTTGCTCATACAGTTAACCATAAAGTTTGCATATCACAGAAGATGCACATGAACTTAAATTTTTTATCATAGAATCACAGAATGGTTTGGGGTGGAAGAGACCTTAAAGACCATCCAGTTCCACCCCCCCTGCCATGGGCAGGGACACCTTCCACTAGACCAGGTTGCTCCAAGCTTCTTCCAGCCTGGCCTTGGACACTTCCAGGGATGAGGCATCCACAGCTTCTCTGGGCAACCTGTTCCAGTGCCTCACCACCCTCTCCAGGAAGAACTTCTTCCTGATATCCAATCTAAACCTCCCTGCTTTCAAAACCTTACTCTTTAAGAGAAAATTTTTACTTAGCACAACAGATTTAAAACTAATCAATGTATAAACACATTTTGGAACACCAAATGAGTCTATCAAAGCTACTCTCCAAAAATATCCAGACTTTTGTTCTCCAAGACTGACTACTCTTCCCTTCACTCTGTTATTTCCATTAAGGCAAGCAAGCAGCTGGAACTGCAGTGTCTTTGCATCTATCAAAAGAAGAGATCCCTGACAAAAGACCTGTTTATTCACCAAGCTTGTATTTTTACTGATATTTTGCTGGAACACTGTTCTGTCCTTAATCTTAACAAAAAAATCCTTTTAAAATGGCCGTTGCTCCTTCACTGTTATTTTCCAACCGAAGATGTGGTCACATGGCTTCCGTGTTCATGGAGACAGATGAGTCAGGAAAGGTATGCATGCCTCCTGCCTCTTTCAACTGAAACTCTCCTCACACCAGCTCTACAGCCAAAATTCAGGAGGATCACAGAGTTTGAGCAGACGAAGTAAATTGACAGGACTATTCGAGTTGATGATAAACACCCCAGTATCTCCTAAACTACAGGGTAAAAGTTTGCCTTGTGCATTTAAAAGGACAACCTACCTTATGTACACTAGGCTTTATAATTTCCTTTTCATATATAAAGCTTGATGCAAATATTTTTTAAAAAGACAAAGAAATAGAAAAAGAAAAAGAAAGAACATTATACTTCTGACAGACTTGGAACGAAAAAAAAAAACAATGACCAGACCACATGATAATTATACCCAGATTTCTAGTATTCTGGGATTCAGATGGTGTATTAAATGTATTTTAAGAAGTCTTTGCTTTAGTGTTTTTGTTATTTCACACAACATCTTGGAACGGTTCAATGAGGTTCTGAATTTAATTCTCTTCTACACTTCTTGATGTGGACACAGCGCTCTCCACGAGCGTTTCTATGTTCTAAGCACACACAAAAGCTCTCCTTGAATTTTCCTGACCCTGCTGCTAGGTGGTACTATGGTTCCTAGCAGCAGCAGTGACAGTGCCACACAAGAATAGCGAAGTGCAACACTTTGCTCTCACTCCGCTCAGCAGAGCTGTTGCCTCCAGGCCCAGAGGCACACTGCTTGGATTTGTGGGTTGTAAAGGGAAGCAGGTGAGTATTACAGCCCTGCAGTAGAACAAAGGACAGCTAGAACAATACATCCATTAGATCAGTAACATACCGTTACTCCGGATATAATTGGGGCTTTTCCTTCAATTAGTTTATATATTTCTTGAACTGCTTCCTCATCACTCTTGTCTTTAAATCGCTTCTTGGAGAGTTCTTGAAGAGCTTCCTTAAACTGCTCAAAAGTGATAGTTCGGGAAGACTTTCCCCTGTTGAAGCACACAGAAATTGAAAGAAATTACAAGAGAGCACAACAAGCATTCCAAGAATAGGAGAAAAGTTTGAGTTTACCAGAGTGAACAACAGAACAAGGCAACAAAACAGGAAGACCCATTCAGCCCATTTATGGTGTCAAATAAAACATATCCCAGGAACACCACTTCCTTTTTCATGTACATCAGTAGGATAGCACTTCAGAAACTTCCACTGATTAATGTTCAGAAGTAAAGAGGTAATAAAGGCACCTCGCCTGCTGTCAGAATGCCTGTAGCTCATCAAATCAAATGTAGCCCCATTTGATTAATCACTTGTAAAGCCTGCGTGCGTAAGAGACTGAGGCATCTCAGGTGAGCTTTGTGATTTAATATTTTTTATTCCTCTTTGAATAACTCATTATGACATATTATTCCTAGGTCATTATTCATGTATTCACAAGTAAATTAAGAATAATGCTGCTGTGTTGTGCTGGGTTCAGTCAGGAAAGAGTTAACTCCCTTTCCCCTGGCTGCTGTGAAGCTGTTCCTGGCTGCAGAGAACAGCACTGATCAGGTCTCAGCTGGGGCTGGGCAATGCCTGCACCAGGTTCAAGGTCTGTCTCCCCTTCTGACCCTGCAGCTGCGTTCCCAGCTCTCGCTGTCTGGCTACAGGCAGTGCAGGGACACACAGCTCAGGCACCTGACCCCAACTGACCAAGGGAGTGTTTCA